AATGTCAAGGACATTCTCTCTGACATCTGGAAGACCCCTCTGATCAAACTATCCAGATCTATAGAATCTTGTTTGTAGCCATAGAATAAATTTTGTGTGAGGGGAGTAATTTATGTATACTAACCACACGATGTGCAAATATAGGAGGGGAGAATGTATAATTCCCCGAGGAGTTCTTAGCAGTTAATAAGGGGGAGTCCTTAATCTGAAGCTGGAAGAACTTAAAGAAATATTAGACGTAATATCTTAACATCTTCGTATAGTGAATTTATTTATCTCAATATATCTGGTGATGTTTCTCTTAAACATGATGGAGGTTGTTTACTCTAACTTGATATTGTTAAGTCTATGAGAGCATGTAAGTCTTGTTCTGTTGTAGAGGAAGAGGTATTCAAGGGGTTGTGTGCATTGGAGATGTATCAACCTAAGTTCAGTGATTGATTGGTGTCTGCACTTTGAAGTGTCATCTAATTCACCTAAGATGAACATTTCAGTTTTTGTCAGGAGCAAGGAGGAGTTGGTAATCCTATTAGGGACTAAAGGATCATGGTTCTTAAGAAAGGAAGTTTGATTATTCTTTCTTGTTATCTGGATGGGAAGGTTATCCTCATGCTTAGGGCTCAATTATGTGGTGTCCTCACATAATGGAACATATGCTTTTGAAAGGATTGAAGGGCATCCTTGTGTGTTGAGGAATTAGGAGAAGAAGATTTTTTCTAAATAGTTTGTGTGGTATTATGATCAGTCAATACCTGGTTCTTGTTGTGATCTGCTCCAAATACCTTTTTAGGTGTAGAAGAATGGCGTCTAACACTTCAAAGTTAGACAGGAGGTCTGAACATTGTGCTTGTGAGAAGAAATTTTCTTGAGGTGTGCATGCTCTGCATGTATTTTGATCTAGTCTTGAAGGTTGATCAGCTACTGATGGTTGATCCTCTTGTGTCCCTTGCAAGAGTTTTATATGGACTGATATGGATGTTGTCTCCAGAGCCATTCTAAATGGTTAAATACATGTGTTTTAGACTGATGTTTGAACTGATGTTGGAACATCGTTTCAGTTCTTTGCTTCTTCAGTCAAAGGACTTTTTGGATTTTTTTCATGGTGGAGTGTACGGTCAAACCTCTCGCCTAATTTGGAGCAGTCTATGATGTGAATGGCTATTATGACTGGTTGTCATGAAGAAGAATCAGTTGGTGCCAGATGTGTGCAGAAGAATAATGCCAGACCAAATGTCCTACCTAGTGTGAAAAGGTAGAATCATCTGACTATTGGTAAATACTTTGACGGGAGCTGAGTATTTGTCTATCCTTTGATGAGGATATGCATGAAAGTTATGGTAAATACTTTGACGGGAGCTAAATATTTATCTAAGGTGTTATACAAGTCTGCAGTCTAAACAGTATGATTCAGAAATTTTATTGAGAATTTATTTTTCTCTATGTAGCTGTGTTGAGTAGCTTAGGCTAGGAAGCTGCTAACTTCTGAGAGCTTATGTCTCTCCATGGTGCTCTGATGTATGACAAACATAATTAGCTACTGAAGCCATTTTCTGTTAAGAGCTTCTTGAATAACTTCAATGCATAATCAGTCTTTTGAATGGTGTATTAAGAGCCAGAGTGATTGGGTTCTGTGATGAGAAGATGGTGTCCTAAATGATGTTGTAACATCATGCTTGATTATGGATGTCATTGGAAGAAGCTTGGGATTATGATTAATAATTTGTTATTTTACATTATATTTATAAGTGGCAATTCTAACTATGATGGAGAAGGATGTGAAGCTTTTGACCCTGTCCTCTAGGGTGTGTGGCGAAATGCATATGTCATGATTGAAGATAACAATTGGACCAAAAATTGCTAAGAGCATAAGAAGAGTCTCAAATAGAATGATCTGATTAGAATGCCTACTGAAGTGGTGGTTTCTTCTATAACAAGTAAAAGACGGTGGGAATCTGGAACTTGTGTAGCAAGCAAGCTAGGAGCATTTGTTCTGGAATATATGAGAAGTTCCAAATCATGTGTGTCTTGTGTGAATCTGTAAGGACATTTATCAGTTGTGTCCTTGTTGAATAGCTCAGGGTGCTTGGTGGTATTCTCAGAGAGCTAGTGTATCTGAGTCTGTAAAAGTCATGGTTGATTTTACAGTTTGAGAATGTGTTCAGCGGGTGTGTGAAGCTGAAGTTTTCTACCATGAGATTTTGGAGTCTCTCATATGTGCTCTTCTGGTGCTCAAATGGTTATGTTCAGCAGGAGAATTGGTTATCCATGACAGGGGGAGTAAAGTTTGTGTCTATGGATTGTTACTGTAATGATGTAGATTTTTAAAGCTTGCATATTGTTCAATCTTGTGGAGTTCATATTCCTCTCATGAGGTTGTGATTTCAAACAACATGTTGTGACATTGGGCTGCTGAATGTTGTTATGGTTTGTGCTCATTAACAGTGGATGGTTGGTCCTAGCCTTGTGAAGCTAGTTGTTTGAATCATGTGCACACATACTTCTTATGAGGAGCCTGAAGGGAAGTTTTGTTTGTATCTAAGAGAATTTATTTTTCTCTACAGTGTTTGTGGAAGGACCCTTTAAAGGTTGTTGATGAATCGGAATGTCATACATGTGATGTTTTGGGTCTTGAAATTTTTATTTGTGTTTCCATGAAAGAAGTAGACTCAGAATCCAATGAAGCATCATGGTCTGATAATTGGAGATGCATAGTCAAGTTTTTTTAAGAGAAAGTAGACAATGTCTGACTGGATGTCAGAATATTTATCAGGACATGTTTTTTCCTTGATCCAAACAAGGAAGTATTATGGACAGTGTTGTCAGGGTGATGGGTAAAACGAGATGTTTGTCTTTGCATACCCATGTATTAGAATTATGAAGACAGTCAGAGTCTGTTTTGGGCAGTGCATTATTGTTGATTATCTCCCTTAAATAACATTCTCATTGACCAAGACTGTTATTTCATAAGAAGACTGTTTGGCTACTTAAAGAGGTCATTTCTTCACCTCTTTAATCTTGTGGTGGTTACTCTTTATCTATTCTTATGGCCTGTATTCAGATGTGAGGGCTTTGTTTGTCAATTTTTAGCCAAAAAGGAGGAGAGAAGCTTTATTCAACTGTGAGTCTAAAGTTTGTTTTTAAACCAGTTTCACAAGGATGTAGAATAGACTATTCTGCTATGAGTCTGTTGGTTTTAATATTTGTGACTTGTGATCTAAGTTATGAACAAAATTGTGACTTGTGTTATGAGATACCAAGAATTGAAGGTATTATGGGTTTAGGTGTTATTTGGTTGCTCCCTGTGAGGAATGTTTCTGAGTTGAGGGGGAGTTTCAGCAATCTTCTTCCTCATGTACATCAAATGTCATGAGGTTGATGTTCTGTGGTGACTGAGTTTTTGAGTCTGGAATGGAAATGTTTAGAGCTACTGTGAGAAAGATGTCGAACAACATGTCCTGACATCTTGGCTGAAGACTGACTCCATATTGATATGTTGCCGTGTTCAGTAGTTACTGAAGACTACTGCTGAAGAATTATGATTTTTGTTTATTATTGTAATATGGGTTGTAATTTATGTTATTTGTTTTATCCAAAATTTGTCAAAGGGGGAGATTGTTAGTTCTCTATTTTTAGGATTGACATTAGTTTTAATAAAACAAGTATAGCAACAATATGTTAAATAGGATATGATTACTTGTTATGAAAAACAAGTTGAGCAAGAAGTCTTATTTTATGAAGAACATGTTGAGTTGAAATGTTTCAACATCTGGAGCAATATGTCGGGTAAGATGTCTTATGTAGGGTCGTACGACATCGCGCATGAGCTGGGCTGGACAGTTGGATTCTGTTATGTTTTAACAGACGCAGAATATTCTGAGAATATTATGCAATCCAGTGTGGTGCTGAATTGTAGGTCTGAAAGATTCAATCAAAATTCAAGAGGAAAATATACTTTCTAAATAAGGAGACTTTTTAGGAAAGATTTGATTGAAGACCTATTTTGTTGCAGAATCTTCTGCGGATTTATAACAGCTGATATGTTTTGATTTAAAGTCCAAATCTAGTTATGAGATAGGTTATAAATAGAAGCATTGTAACCTAGATAAATGTATCAGCCGTGAATGAAAAGATATAGTTATTAGGGTTGAGTATGTAAGCCACTCTTTAGGAGAGTTGGTATGTGTGATTCACTTGGGTTCTGAGTTTGAATGTGTTTCTTGAGTTGTTAGGTTCTATTCTCCTCGAAGTTGTGAAGCAAGAGTGAGTATTATTCTTGGAGAAAACTTGTAAGCAACTCCAAGTTGTTGTTCTTAGTCAAGAGTCTTGGCTAAGTATTGTTTTAGAAGCGAGTCTTCTAATATTGTCATGGAAGTGTGTCTTCTTGTTTTGCGTCATGAAAGTGTGCCTTCCTGTTTTGATCAAATTGTTGTCTGTGATTGATGAGAGAGTTGGGGATGGTCTCATATCTAGGTGAATCTTAGATAGAAAGTTAGCACGGATACTGATTAAGTGAGAAGTTGTAAACGAGAGAGTTTAGTTTCGAATTGATATTATTATAGTGGACTTTATCTATGGTTTAGTATGCTCCCAGAGTAAGAGAGTTGCTCCAAACTGAATTAACAATTCTGTGTGTTATTTATGTTTTTCAGTATTGTTTTATATATTTTTATACCTTGTCTGTGTGTTTCAAGTCGGATCAAATGTCTCAATATGTTATAGGACATCTGAAATCTGATATACCAGAATTTCAATATTAAATAAAATAAATCACATAAAGTATTTTATCACCAAAATAATTAAAAAAAGACAATTAAAATTCCATTAGATAATTACTAGGAAATTCAGGGCGTTACAGTTGAGTTAAACTTATTAAATATAGATAACAACAAAGTTGAACTTTATTAAATAAAAACTAAAAGCGAAAGGAAACACAAGACAAAGTAAGTCGAGGAACGTGACTAGTATCAAAACAGTAACACAACAGTGTTATTAAACCTTCCATGAAGAGTGACACAACAGTAACAAAACTAGTATCAAATGGATTATACAAACAAGCCCTTCAACTCTATTCTCACCTCCACGCTTCTTCTTCCTCCCACACTCCCAACTCCTTCACCTTCCCCATTCTCCTCAAAGCATGCTCCAATCTACCTTCTCCTTCCTCTTCCCAAACCCAAATCCTCCATGCCCATCTCTTCAAAACCGGTTTCCACTCCCACCCTCACACCTCCACCGCCCTCACCGCCTCCTACGCCGCCAACTCCCACTCTTTCCCAGACGCCCTCAAACTGTTCGACGAAATGCCTCAACCAACTATCACCGCATTCAACGCTGCACTTTCTGGACTCTCCCGAAATGGGCCTTCCGGTCAAGCTTTTGGGCTTTTCCGTGAAATTGGGCTTCGGAATCTTAGGCCTAATTCTGTAACCATAGCGTCTTTACTCGTCGCACGTGATGTAAAAAATGAAAGTCAGGTGCGGCAGGTTCATTGCTTGGCGCTCAAGTTAGGAGTTGAAGCTGATGTTTATGTTTCAACTTCGCTGGTCACTGGTTATTCGAAATGTGGGGTTTTGATTTCTTCGTATAAGGTTTTTGAAAATTCGCACGTGAAAAATGTTGTTAGTTACAATGCTTTTATGTCGGGGTTGTTGCAAAACGGGTTTCCGAATCTTGTTTTTGATGTTTTTAAGGATATGATGATGAGTTTGGAGGGAAAACCGAATTTGGTGAGTTTGGTGTCTGTTTTTACAGCAATTGGTACCCTTTTGAATATTCGTTTGGGGAAGCAGGTTCATGGGCTTAGTATGAAACTAGAAGCTTGTGATCATGTTATGGTGGTGACTGCACTTGTTGATATGTATTCGAAATGTGGTTGTTGGGGTTTTGCTTTTGATGTCTTTAATGGAAGTGAAAAGAGGAACTTGATCACTTGGAATGCTATGATTGCGGGGATGATGATGAATTCAGAGAGTGAGAGGGCTGTTGAAGTGTTTGAGAGAATGGTGGATGAAGGGGTTTTGCCTGATTCAGCAACATGGAACTCTTTGATTTGTGGGTTTGCACAAAAAGGGGTGTGTGTGGATGCTTTTAAGTACTTAAGGAAAATGCAATGTGTTGGTGTGGCTCCATGTTTGAAGATTGTGACTAGTCTTTTGTCTGTGTGTGCTGATTCATCTGTGTTGCGAAGTGGGAAAGAGATACATGGGTATGCTTTGAGAATATGTGTTGATACGGATGGGTTTTTGGCAACTGCTTTGATTGACATGTATATGAAATGTGGGTGTGTTTCATTGGCACGTTGTGTTTATGATCAGTTTGATGCAAAACCAGATGATCCTGCATTTTGGAATGCACTGATAGGAGGGTATGGAAGGAATGGAGAGTATGAGTCTGCTTTAGAATTCTTTGATGAAATGTTGGATGAAATGGTTCAACCAAATAGGGTAACATTTGTTAGTGTTCTATCTGCTTGTAGTCACAGTGGTCAAGTTGAGAGAGGATTACATGTTTTCAGAATGATTAAGGAGTATGGTTTGGATCCAACGCCTGAGCATTTTGGTTGTGTTGTTGATCTTTTGGGTCGATCCGGTCGGTTGGGCGAAGCTCAAAAACTGGTGCAAGAATTAGCAGAACCTTCTGCATCTGTTTTTGATTCTTTGCTTGGTGCATGTAGGTCCTACTTAGATTCCAATCTTGGGGAAGAAATGGCGAAGAAACTTCTTGATATGGAACCGGAAAATCCAGCTCCACTTGTGATTTTGTCTAACATATATGCTGCATTGGGAAGATGGGGAGAAGTAGAAAGGATAAGAGGGTTGATCACTGATAAAGGATTGGATAAACTCACTGGTGTTAGCATGTTAGAAGTTGCATGAGAATTGCATTGCTTACATAGAAAAAACTTAAAGGAAATGTTCTTTTTTTGTTTATGATGATGACATAAAAGTTTGCTACATTTGAAGTGTTCTTTCTGCTATTTAAACTTCCTTGTAAATCAGGGATTCAGCATCTCTTTCACTGCGAATCCGTAGTAATCGTCAAAATGGTAGTCAGGTTCGTTGATGAAACAAGAGATTACATCTCTCAGTGTTATGACACCAACTACTTGATCTTGTTCATCTACTGTATAAACCCTGTGAATAGACTGTGAAGCAAGAGTATGAATCACGCTCTGCAGAGTTGAGTCAGGCTTGCATGTTATTGGCCGAGTGACCTTTCCAGATTCATAGGATGCTGAGACAATTTTCTTCATGTAATCCATGACAGTGAGGTTCCTGAAAGTCAAAATAAAGAGATGGTGAAGAAGAGAGAACATTTCAGTTGAGTAATTAGTTCTGTGTGATGACCAATTGGTCATAGTTGTAGTAGCTGCTGTTTGTTTTCCTTAAATAGAATATATTATCCATAATCACACTTTTATATTAAGTGGACAATCTTATGATCTCTAGTTGATTAATATTTTAAACTCAGTTGATAGAATTTTGTTTACCGACATAACATTATGTCGTCGTTTGTTGCATCTGTTTGGATGAACCCAAGAGAGTTTTATTTCAAAACTGTGAAAACAATTTTGTTTCTGATTTTGGTGTGTTCCCCTAATTATTGTTAGAGATGCATATCATGCAGGTTCCTGAGCTACCACCTAGTCTCACCTGAAGTTGGAGAAAATTTCAGGCTTTAGCAACAAGTATCTGATGTCTCTTATGCTCAAGTTTCCAACAATTGTCTTTGTTGGCCCCTCTACAACAGGAAGACCACCAATTTGATGATCCCTCATAATCTTGAAAGCTTCAAGAATCAATTCATTGCTCTGGACGCTAATAACCTAAACAAGAGGAAATAAGATGTGTTTAAACCTCCGAGCCGCGGGAAGCTATACAAAATTTGAATGAAAATTGTTACCTTATCAGCAGACATAAAAGGAAGTCCCAGATCAGATATAGGCCTGGCTCCAATGGTGTCGAACCAATCTCTTCCTCTGCATCCTTCTAGGCCTTGGACAACTGCTGACTGAGTAATGAAGTTTACAATGTCTGGCTTACCAGGTTCTATCACCGGTACATTCCTCAGTCTATATTTTGAGAGAAGCAGTAAGACGGTCAACATAGCACTGTTTTTTGCAACTGGAACAAAAGGTGCCCATCGATATGATTTCAGTATTGATCCCACCTGAAGCCAATCAAGAAAAAAAGCTTAAACTAAAAATTCAAAAAGCTCATAAAAAGAGAATTCGCAGTATACATTATAACCATTGTTTGCATACCGTTGTTGACTTGAAGGGTTCTTCTTGCAATATCACTTTGTAAAAGTCCTCGCCAAGGTTATTTGCAGCTTGAGGAGCATCTTTAGCCACAGTTTTATCTGCGGCAACACCACCTGCCACTGCTGCACCTACTGCAGCAGCAGTTAGTCCAGCAATTGCAGCAGGACCTGTAACTCCTAATGCCAGTGCTCCCAAAGCACCAACAGTTCCCGCGCCAACTCCAGCAGCTGTTGCTGTACCAGCTGATAGAGCAACTGCAGCAAGCTCTGCACTCTCCATCACCCAGAGAATGATGGCTGAATAATCTATGATGCCAAGGTACCTGTCTCTCCAATCTGAACCAATTCCTGCAGCAGGGTCTTTAACTGGAGCAGATAAAATGTTGGCTTCAGACAGAATCTTAACAGCTTCACCAACAGGTGTGTCTGCTAGAATTTCAATCACTGCCAAAGTAGAGAGGTTCACATGAATTGCATAAGGTATAGGTTTGAAATGCATTTATTTATGGTTAAATCATGTTACCTTTTCCTCCTGGAACTCCTGGAAAAGAAGAAACTGGAATCTTTGCAAATGAATCTGTCAATGACTCCTGCAATCTCTGTGGTAGTTTCTTTCTGGATTGTATGGTTTCAAAGTAGCTGTCGCATTTTGAAAGTGGGGTGTTTGGTCTGACCTCTTGCGCGTGCGCCATATTTTGAACTGAAGCCATTTGTGTTAGTTAATGTTTCAATGGTTTTCAAGAAATTGCAGAATTGTGGCAGTAGAGACATCTCTACATGGTTTTTAGACCATGTTTGGTTTCACTTTGGATAAAATTGATTTTAACATTTTGAGTGTTTTAGAATATAATTGTTTTAGTCGCTGGAATGAATTCTAGCTTGAAATTTGATGATTTTGCCTCCAAACATGATTTTTTAAGTTTATTCAAACCACTTTCACTGAAATGCATTCTTATAATCAATTCTCTTTAATCAATCAATTTCTCAAAAATTTAATCTAGTATCTTTTGTATTCTTTAGTCTCCGATCAATATTATTCCTAGGGGTTTTTGTTTCCTCACGAATATGAGGATGATTCAACAAGACTGAAAATCTATGAATCATGGATGCCGCGACACAAATGCTTCGACAATGATGATATAAAAAACATAGGATGTCAATACCGTTACATATTTTGAGATAAACTTATAGAGTTGAAAATATTCTAATTAAAATTAATATTATCAATGCAAAGTAATATTAATAGAAAGTGAAAGATCCTAAATAGAGTACAAAGATAAACAATTGGTTCGAGGAGTACCAAAACCTACAAACCAAAATTTACAAAGCGAACACTATAAAAAAACCAAAATAAATGGAACACTACAAAAACCAACAAGCACACAAAGAAATTCCAAAAACTCCAATAGAAAGGGAACACTGAAAATCCAACAAGCACACCATAAACTACAATAGATACTCCCTTTAAGAATCAACACACAGAAACGAGAGGCAAGCTAGACACCAAATCAAAACTACAATGGAAAAAAAAGAAAAGAAACACATGTTTAACCTGACCAAAATCTAGATTCGCCATTGCTTAATCTAAATGATAGGGTTTTGAAGTCAATCCGTGAAGATGCAAGAGTTCTCCTCTGATATGACCAAATATCATTTTCATACCAAATACCTCCGGTTCTTTCATGTTTGTTGTAGAGTCAGAAAACACAATCTCATTTCGAGCCTTCTAAGTAGTTCACACCACAACATGCCGGATCATAGAAAATCCCTATAGATTTCACCCTACCCTCAATGAATAAAAACTCTCAAAGAGAAGACTGTGTTCCTTAGGAAGGACCAAGTGCCACCCTAACCAACTAAAAATCATATATTAAACTGTGCTAACTAAGTCACTGATAACAAATAGATGAGAAGCTTACTCAATAAAGTCATCACAAAAAAGACACAAAACAAGACTTAGATCGACAATCAACTTTTTGTTGAATAAATTCTCTTTAGAAAGGAACCTATTTAGGAGACGTTGCCAAGAGAACATAATCACCTTAGAGGATGCTCGACTACCCCGAAGTTGAGGAAGAGACATTTTTCAGAAAAAACAGATAAGAAATAGAGATAACATTAAGCACGTAATTGAGCAGACTCGCTCACACTCATGGGCGGATCTACGTTTAGGCTAGGTGTGGCTATAGCCACACCAGATTTTTTCTTTCTTTCTAATATTAATATATATTTAATTAATTAATTAATTTTAATATTTAATATTATATAACTCTTCAACTCACTTTTATCTCTTAATTTTCTCTCTCTTTTATTTCTTTCTCTCTCACACAGTAAACCCTTCCTTTCTCTTCTTCTCAAACCCCACCAACTTCCATATTTGTCTCTTTCTCTCATTAATCCAATAACCCCACTATTTTGCATTGTTTATGGGTGATTGAAAATCAAAGGTAAACTAACTACTTCAAAATTTTCTTATTCTTTTGTTCTATTTGAGTTGAACCTTAAAACCCCAATTTGTTTTAAAAAAGTAAATTTTCAATTTCTCATAAATATTTTCTTTACAATAAATTGTTCTTATTATTTTCTTTATAGAGTGAATAGCTAATTTTAATGGTTTTATTGTTCTCTTTATAGGATGAAGAAATTTTTTCCTGTGCTTTCTAAAGACAAAGCTACTTCTTCGGTAAATCTAGAAGCATCGGAAACTCAACATGCAAGTGAGAGTATTAAAGTTGTCGATTATGAATTGTTGGAAACCGATTCAGGAATTAGGCCTCCAATTTCAAGCTATCATCCTGACATCCAAAATGAGGTAAGGAAAGCTTATTTAAAAATAGGTCGTCATAAACCTCCTTACAATTTTGTTTACCCTTGGTCTGTTCAAGGTAATCAAAGACGTAGATTTTGCAAAAATTGGTTTGATTTGTATGATTGGATTGATTATAGTGAATCTAAGGACCTGGCATTTTGCTTGTCATGTTTTTTGTTTAAGAATGTCTCTAAATACGGGGAGATCACTTTGTGACAGAGGAGTTTGGTGATTGGAAGAATTCTCACAGATTGGCTAATCATGGAACTTCTTCCAATAATCATATTGATTGTGTGCATATGAGTTACGCTCTCATGAACCCAAACCAAAGTATTAAGGCGAATTCTGAATATCGTGTTCGTGTAAACACATCTCTTATAGCTACTAAGTTTCTTTTGAGGTGTGGCATGCCATGTAAACACATCAATGGTTAAATGATCGTCTTGTAACTTTTATAGAAAGAGATGTTCTTGGAACAATTAACAATGATGTTATTTTAGCTCATTTTCAAGAAATTGATACTAGACAGTTTTCATTGTAAATACACTTCATCAAACAATATTATTTTTTATTTTCAATATATTTTAGTTGATAATTTCTTTTATGTTTAGCCACACCAATATATAAAGTCTGGATCCGCCCCTCACACTCCCAAACTGACATACATATGCTTCTAGAAATTAAGCGTCTTAAAAATCAAATTGACAAGAGGATCCCATGTAACTTAACGACTAGGAATAACATCCACTGAAAGCCCAAGATATTTGAAAGGTAGGGTCTCAATTTTGCAATGAAGGAAGTCAC